CCTAGACGAAGAAATGACAAGGTTGGAAAAAACGGGGGTGAAATAAATAGCATACTGGAAAGCAATGCAATGAATTGATTCAAAAGCTCATGTCTCAGTTTAACGTAATAAAAATGTATGATGTTTGCCACACACAACCTTTGCTCTTCCCATTCCAGTGCAAGTAAACTAAAAAAGAAGACTATAATTAGCCATAGAGAGCCAGTTTGATGTGGTGGTTCAGGCATCAGTCTAGAAATCAGGAGATTGTGAGTTCTAGTTCCACCTAAGGCACAAAGCCAACTGGGTGACCTTGAGCCAGTCATTCTCTGTAGCCTGAAAAAAGAAAGCAGTGGCAAGCACTTCTGAAAAAACTTGCAAAGAAAACTGCAGGTACTTATCCAGATAGTCGCCAGAAGTCAACACTTATTCAAGGGCACAAAACAAAACAATAATAAAAATAATTTGTCTGCTTTAGTGCAAGCTAGGATATTAATTCATGATTTAAAATTTGGCTTTGGTTAACCAGGAAATTAGTGCTAATCATTGATTTCCTGGCTTACTTGAATCAACTGAGAGGGCTGCATGCACAGGAAAAGATTTGTCACATCTTATTTAGCTGAGATCTGTCTGAGCAGATGTGGTCAATATGGTATAGATCATTTTTGTGAGAGAAGAGCATATAAAGCTAAAATTAGTAGGGATATTTTAAGGCAACGTCACAATTTGCATTGTATTACTTTTGAAACATTCTTACGATTAGAACTATAAATTCAAATAAATAGTAGGGTTTGCAGATTCATACTAGCTACTTTTTTTAACCAACAAAGCATAAATGTAACTTCCTCAGTTTGGTATCTTTCAGATGTGTTGAGTTGAAACTCTCTTTGTTCTTGGCCAGCCTATGATTTATAACCTCAAACATCTGAACTGCATCTGATGGAGGAAAGCTAGTTTAAACTGTCAGTTAGCATTCATCTAAACTTTATTTGTATGCCTAAATTGCTTCATGTAATTATAAAAGAGAAATAGATCATAGAATATTTTTTAAAGAATGCTACATTAATCTGTACTATAAATTCCACTTTAAAGTGTAGAATGTAAGCATAGATACAATAAGCAATCTAGCCACAAGCAATCTGCTTTAAAAAGTAGAATGGCAGACATTTTGATTGAAAGATCCCCTTTGAAGATTATAGCCTGGTGTCCAAAAGAACAAGTTTGGGGCCCAGGAGTTTCTTCCAGGTAATAAAGTTTTAAAAATCCTTCCTTTTGGGACTTATTATATTTTAGCAATAGCAATAGCACGTAGACTTATATACCACTTCCCAGTGTTTTACAGCCCTCTCTAAGCAGTTTACAGAGTCAACATATTGCTTCTCACAATCTGGGTCCTCATTTTACTGATCTTGGAAGGATGGAAGGCTGAGTCAACCTTGAGCTGGTCAGAATCAAACTCCTGGCAGTGAGCTGAGTTAGCCTGCAATAACCACTAATCACGGTCTAACCACTGCACCATCATGGCTCGTTAGCTAGTCGAAGACTTAAAGCAAGGCCTCAGATTTTTAAAGTAGTTTTTACATTCAAGTGAAATTGAGAAAAAAAATAGCTTTCAGTAATGAGGAATAGTTTGTACTCATTAATACACATCTTCCATTGTCTTCATCTTCATCAGCTAAGACCACATATCCAAAAGTGCATCTTAAAGGTAGGTCTAAACTGGGCAGAACTTTCATTAGATTATATAGGACAGTTTGATGACTGCAATAGAGGAGCTAAGGTTTTGGATTTTCTATTGTTTAATGCAGGGGTGTCAAACTGCCGGCCCGCGGGCCAGACGCATCACGCGGAAGCTGCTCCCTCCCCATTGCCGGCAATGGCAAAACAGTCCTGATACATTGCGTGATGTCATGTGACGTCATGAGTTTGAAATGTCTGGTTTAATGAAAGCAAGAAAAATATTCTTATTTTTTTTTAAAAAAAAGGCCATAGCTGAAATTTTGCTCAATGTGTATATTTGCAAAGTAGTATTTATTTCCTGTAATAGACTTTTTTCCTGTTAGACTTCCTGATCTATGCAGACTGTAATGTAAATTGGTAGCATTATATATGGTGTCTAGTTCAAGGGAAGCAGGGACTGATTCTCCAAGCTTCCCTCAATTATTTCATAGTTGGCTCTCATTAATGGAACTCAAGGTCCTTCAGTGTTCCTCAACCATGGCAACTTTAAACGGGTCTAGGACAACTCACTGCGACCGACGTGCCATAATCAACTCACTGCAGGACAAGAGTTACACTAATAACAAAGAAATGGTGGAATAGAATAATTAAAGAAAAGATGCAAAAGAATGAATGGCCAAAATGAAATGTCAGTGACAAAAATTAAAATAATTTTCTAATTGTTTTAAATATTTAAATTGAGTTGTTGAATTGGCCCGCAGCGAGTTGTCCCTCGGTGAATTGTCCCATTCTGACTTTAAGCATGCTGGCTGGGGAATTCTTGAGTTGAAGTCCATATATCTTAAAAGTTTCCAAGGTCAAGAAATACTTTTCTAGTTAAAACGGGGGTAGATTCCACAGGCTATGGTCTTTGTTTCATATGTGTGAAGTTTTGTATACATCATCCAAGCATCCAAAAATAGAAAGCAAGGCAGACAAGCAGTTGCCACCCAAGGCCTGGCGTGAATACTCTTATTTATTTATGCAAAGTGTAAGTCAGAGAAGGCTGAATTTCATTAAACTTTTTCAGGTTTAGACCTCCATAGAGAAAATACTGCATTTTGCTCATTCCTCCCTGTCTCTTTTCTACCCTAGATGCAGTGCCCGTTCTGACCTGAGATTGGACCTATCCTTGTGGGACTCTGCCTTCTCCCTCTTCCTCCTCCTCCTCGTCACCTAGGAAGGGGGAGACGGGTTCTCTCTTTCATTCCATCCATTTGGTCCTAAGATATTCCAAGATGTCCCCGATTTTACCAACCTGGGGAGCCCCATGAAACTGCTGCATATTACTTACTGATCATGGATTAATAGGTGTCCTTACCGCATGAATGGGATGTCAAAGGGGACAAGGACCTTTGAGGGGTGGGCGGGGCATCTCCCTTTTTCGCACTGCAGAGTCAGGAATGCATGAATATTAATAACATTAATCTGAATATTTTTAGAATCATACTTCAGTGGGTGGGTGAGGAATTTATAGGAAGTGGGGGGGAAAGATGATTTGAATTGGGAGGGGGAAATTTAAAGTTAGGAATATAGTTAGTTCTCTTTCATGGTGGAGAGTTTTAAGTCACCCATGAAAACTGTTTCTCCCTTTTTGAAACTGCATTCAGCTTCCAGAGCTGTGGGGGGGAGGGAATGAAGTTTCCACTCCAGGAGTTTTCCTATGCATGCTACATGTTGGGATCAAACATGCCACTAGACAGGGCCAGTTACAGGCAGAAATGTGTCTCCCATTTGACCTGATTTTCAGACACAGCATAAACTGCATCATCAAAATTTGGTGGGACAGTTTCCTGCTATATTTTTCTGCTTTGAAACAGCACTGGGACCTGCACTTTAATTCAGGATCCTTTTCCTTGCTTGCCCTCGCCTCTACCTCCTGTTTCAGGGGACCAGGAAAAGCAAATAGCTTTCCATTTGGGGAAGAGGTGCATAGAAGCATTTCAAGCTTCCTGGAGCTGAAGGAGAAAGAAACAGACTTGGAGGCCCTGGGCTGTAGTTCAAGGATCTGAACAGTATTTTTTTTAAAAAAGAAAACACTGAAAATCTTTTTTAAAAAGTAAAACGGTAAATAAACTTGAAACTGAATTCTTGTTTAATTCTTATATTGGGTGAGAGTCAATGACTGCTGTATATTTCAGTCTTTTTTGTAATTTGTGTTCTCTCAGTGCACTGAAGATCAAAATGAGATATTTTATGCAATTTCAACACATTATTTGTTTGCACCCCAGATTATCATAGACTTTCGACAGAAGACCCCACGTGTAAATGTGTGTTTTTCTGGTGGGTTGGCTTCATACCCTAGAAGATAGGAATTCTGTTTTTTATTTGGAAAACAAGGTAGAGAGGGGAACTGCCTAGATGATCTTTTGAGTTGTTTGCCTGGGCACTGATTCTGAAGAAATTAGGTTTAAAAAGCACAATTGCAAGAAATTGAGAGACAAAACGACACCAATGGTATTCTTGCTCTGTCATAATCTGTTTTAATTTGTGCTGTCCAATTAAAGACCGTCTGGGTGATTAACTCAGTAACTTTATAATTACAAACATTGGCATACTGCTGAAATAATATTTGCAGATATGTGTGGCTGACCAAGATCCCCATCCTGCAGAAGTAAGAATGTTTCAATGCTCATTAGCTGCTCTGTTTTGCTTTTCTATCTTTTCTGACTCCCTCTATACCAGTGGTTCTCAACCTTTTTAATGCCGCGACCCCAACCAGTCGTAAGTCAAGGACTACCCAACTGGTCGTAAGTCGAGGATTTCCCTGCTCGGGAGCGCCGCACATGCGTGGTGCCACCTCCTGCGCCAGCCGAGGCGTAGCTGGCAAGCGGCAGAGATGGCACAGGCCGACCACCGGCTGGGCCACCAGCTGGCCCAGCCCAAGGGAGGTAAGGCACCCGCCAGGTCCCACGTGCGCCAGCAACCCTCCCTGCGCCTGCCGGCCTCCCAGCCCGGCCCTCTTTTACTTAACATTTTTAGTAGTTGCTCAGCAGGGAGGGGTGGAAACTTCCAGACAGCTCGCCTTCGCTGCAGACAACTTGCAGTACCGTTTGCAGAATGGGACTTTTGGCAGGCTCAGCAGGGCAAAGACAGCCTGGACAATTCCTATTGGCTTTTGAAAGCCAGTAGAATTAGACTCTATTCAAGAGAATCTATTCTGTTGGCTTTCAAAAGCCAATAGAATAAAGAGTAGCACAGCTAAGGAAAAGGGGGGAAAATGGCGGACTGTATTTGGGGACCCCGTGAAATGGTCGTTTGACCCCAAATGGGGTCCCGACCCACAGGTTGAGAACTATTGCAATAGAATAAAAGGGAGTAGCACAGCTAAGGAAAAGGGGAAAAAATGGCGGACTGCGTTGTTTGGCGACCTCCGTGAAATGGGGTCCCGACCCACAGGTTGAGAACCACTGCTCTATACAACTTCTCTAAATGTGAACATTGCTCATGTGTGCTCAAAACCATCCCCAATGTTAGAGTCCTTGGTGCTGTCTGTTTGCTTGCAGATGTTTCATCACCCAATTAGGTAACACTAACAATGCGGTTCAGTGTGGAGTTCATTCCTTGTTTATATTGATTAGGGTATTGCTTTCTGCTTGATTGTTTGTTGGTGGTAATCCAGGCTTCTCTGCGTATGGGAAATATCAAGAAACCCACACCCTCACCAAAACTGGCAAGGCAAGTTACTCTGTATTAATGGAGCAAATCCACACTAATCCACTTCCCAAATTTATCCATGAGCTTACAGGTATTTTGTTCTATTGCAGACATGTTAAACTCACAACGTCACGTGACGTCACGCAACGTATTGGGACGGTTTTGCCATTGCCGGCAATGGGGTGGGCGCAGCTTCCGAATGATGCGTCCAGCCCATGGGCCGGCAGTTTGACACCCCTGTTCTATTGGAATTATCCCAAATTAATATTTGTAGACATTTTGCTCCCAGCTTAATTCTTGACATTTGGCCCAAATCATTTGACTGTTGGCCCAAATCATTTGACTGCCAAGTGGAACTATTCTTTTTTCATGGTCCATCCTAGTGTTTCTCAGCCTGTTAGCTGGGGAATTCGATGAGTTGAAGTCTGTGAGTTAAGCCTTCAAGGCTGAGAAGCGCAGAGGCTCATATGAGGATGATTAGCTTATTAAAGAGATGGCTAAATTGGGTATGGTTAACTGTTAAGCCTCTTCTCTTGTGAACCATACAATGTTACTTTCTCAGAACCATTGAGTTACTATTCTGTTGCAATACACAGGAAGAGGGATTTAAATTGATGCTGGAAGTGGATGAAAGTAAAGATAGTTCCTCCTACCAATCCTGGGGGGTTGGTTGGGGAGGTTACCAATCTTGGGATTATGATTAGCTTGGAGGAATGTGATACACAGGGTATACCAAAAGTCAGGTCCCATAGGCTATTTGCAATATTTTTTTTCTTGGAGAAAATGTTACTATAGTACTGGTAATGTTCACAAGTCATGCATCAGACAAATGATAATAAGAAAATGGCAATCAATTTGAACATTTAATTTAATTTATATATACATTTTATATCAGGCCAAGCTTTGGGTACAATAATGTCTACATGGATTATGTGTGTGAAAGCACAGCTATAGCAATAGCATTTAGACTTATATACCACTTCACAGTGCTTTATAGCCCTCTCTAAGCAGTTTACAAAGTCAGCATATTGCCCCCAGCAATCTGGGTTCTCATTTTACCGACCTCGGAAGGATGAAAGGCTGAGTCAACCTGAGCCCCATCAGAATTGAACTCAAGATCAAAATTTGTGAGTAGAGTGCCTGCAATACTGCATTCTAGCCACTGTACAATGGGGCCATAGGCTGTATTTTGTGTGTGGGAAACCTGCGTGGGTGTGGGAGAGAAAATGAGGATGTGCAAAGGCTTTGTGCGTGTGAGCATAGAAGTACATTCATTAGCCAGCAAGTAGGCATTAGCTATTTCCACAAATCCAGATCTTAAATACTAGATATGCTGGATTTGTTTTTTACACATTTTCAGGCTATTTTAACAGCATTTCTTGGAATGAAGATTTTGATGCTGCTTGTGGAATTTCCATCAATTGGTATTGCTATTCCTTAGTTACTAAACTGAGGGGGAAAGTGACATTGTATTTGGTTATATATCCTGCTTGTGCAAGAATGTGGCTTTATGCCAAGCAAAGATTATGCAGAACAGATTTTTGCTATTCAGCAGATTATTATGAAATGAATGAATGTGCGAAAGTTAGTAGCGGAATATAGGCAATGCCTGGGTTAAGAATATCTGACTTACAACCTATACTTATGAATGGACTGCCATAAATTAAAAATGTGAGTTAAATGCAATGGTTCGTAATAACAAACACACTCCTTTGTAACCCTCATGGAAACATTGTGTGGCTTCAGCAGAGGAAGGAGAACACAGTCTGCCATTTTGAAGAAAATGAATTCTCTTGGAAAGGAAGCTAGAGTGACAGAATTTATTAGATTTTCAAAAGGAGGTAAGTTTAAAGAAGAAAAGTCAAGTTATACATAAAGAGGTATACATAAAGAAACAAGGATGATTAGAGATAATACGGAATGGTTTAGGTCAGGGGTAGGCAACCTTGGCTCTTTTATGACTTATGGACTTCAACTCCCAGGAATTCTGGGAGTTGAAGTCTACGAGTCATAAAAGAGCCAAGGTTGCCTACCCCTGGATAGGTACTGTATACATGAGATTTAGCTGCATTTTTGTTTTCTTACCTCACACCTTTAATATCTTTGGCTTACTACTATTCCTTTTCTGCACTGTAATAACACTGCTTATCTCCAGAAGGAAATACAGTAGCCTGATGGGTATATACATACATAAATCTTTGCCCTTCTTTACCCTGGGTGTATTATTGTTCTCCACCAAATCTATATTGCCCTAAACACTGAATCTTTCCAGCGACCTGCTTGACATAGGTTGTTTCTTTTAATGTAATGCCTTCAGTTTAATTATGCTGACTTGTAAACAGTACTTAGGCTACCTGGTTTTTAAATACCCTTCAATCCATTCAGGCAAAAGGTGCAAGCTTTAGCCGAATTGATAGGTCTTGTTCCCGTACCACTGACTAGGACCATGTTCAACCACAATACTCTTCCCCCACTATAGCCTTCTGTTTAAATCTTTCCACTAGGTTTGCAGAACTGGAAGCCTGCCAACTGACTGACCCTCTTCCAAATGCGGTACTATATTGTGCAATTTTTAAAAGCTTGAATTCCTTTTAAAAGAAAAAAAAATCCCCTGATTGAAGATTGCACCCACCGACACTGATAGAACTACCAGGGAGAACCCAAACTATTCAATTCCCACTTCAGGCTCAGTTGACGGTAAGTTCTGTGGGTGGAGTGGTAGGGACTCTTTCCCGCTCCTGCTCAGAAACTGTGGCTACTCTAGGAAACAATAACTGCTGCAGGTTTTACTTTCTCTTTTTTCTGCTTGTAAAACAACAATATTTAAAAAAAAAAAAAAGATGTCAGGGAAACTGGCTTCGTGCATAGCGGCCTGAGTGTATTTTAATCTTAACCTACAGAATCAGTTTCCCTGGAGCAGCCACAACTAGTGCCAGCAAAGGGAATTCTTGCTATAAGATGTTGCAAAGCCAAACTATTAAAAAAAATATAGGGCAGCTACCAAGTTGAGTGGGTGGGAATGACATGCTGTATGATAGAATAAAGAGCAGAGAATTGGTCAAGGATGAGCTGAACTAACATCCATGAGTCAGTAATACTTAAACAGCAACAGAAGCTGCCTCTGGTTTCTGCTGTCTGTTTTTGGGATTTTCCATTGGATTACTTAACTAAAATCCCCTTAATTCTCCCAGTCCTTCATACCTTGCATGATTTATTCACTGAGAAATATATCTTTGGTCTCTGTACCACAGTATCAAAGTCCCCTTTCAGTGAGTATGATTATTTCGTTTTTGCATCTGTTTTCTGATTCTTATCAACTGAGCTTTCTCCAGAAACTATAGTGTTAGAATTTCCAGGAAGTCACTGATACCAATCCCTCAATTGTTAGGGATAGTGTTGTCTATTTATCTGAATATCTATTTATCAAAAACATATTAATTGCTAGCTGGGGTGTGAAGGATAGCTGGTTGTGAAAATGCAACTAAGTCCTTAGTTTTTTAAACGGTCATTTCTATGTGCCCATTGATTTGATTAAATTTTGACAAAGCAATAGGAAATATACTAATTTTTTTTTTAGTCTTGCTCATTGCCTTGCATGCAACCAGCACTGAGTCCTATCCTCAACCAGGGCTAGGTTCAATGGTGTAATTTGTATTTTATTTGGTTTTGAAGCTTTATTGTAACTCTGTGGCTCTGCTGCTCAACACACTGAACCACATTAGATTAGTGTGTTGTGCAAATCCAGTCCATGTAGTCAGTTTATGATTCAATGTGCCTTACAAACCCAGAAAATTACTTAAGTTTCTAACCACATTTAAATTAACCATGGGTAAGTGGCTTATGCAAAAGGTATTTTTGGCATAGCTCATGGTCAGTATAATTAACAATTAATAATGGAGCTTCATAGGACCCTTTGGGTATTTTGTGAATGAACCATATGTACACAACATTATTTACAGTCATCTGTTTTGTGGCAGTTTTACAGGTCTATTGCTGAACATGTCTAGCAACATAGGTGCTGGTGGGTTGTGTTGTGCTTGCATATATTGCAGTGCAATTATGAAAGAGTAGAACTTGCACTGTGATGTCCCAAGGCAAGTTCTACCATTTTGGCATTATTGTGGTTAGGAACAGAAGAAAAATGGCAACAACTGGACTTTCTGTAAAATTCTATGAATATGGCAGATTTCATCTGATGTGAAAATTGGCTATCAAATTTCTTTTAAAGAATGGATTTGATCTCCTTGCTTCCCAACATGGAGCCCTTACAGCGTGTTGGATGGAAACTCAACCAACTTAACTCAATAGTGTGGGAACTGAGACAATGCTGATTAAAAGTTGAGAGAAATATTTGAAGGGGCGCTTCTGAAGTGGCCTAACTGCCTTTGAATTTTGCATTTCAGATTACAAAAGCTGGAAGCATTTGTAAGCAAACCATGCAGATGTCTGAAATTCTGAGAACGCATTTATTTTTCATTAATGAAAAAAGAGGGGAAATTCACAGTCAACGCAACAACCTGTTTTCCGAAACTGAGATAATCTGTGGATTCCCCTTGTATTGAATATTGTTCATCTGCCCTCCATTGTTACAGACTGTGTTTAATCTCCCTAACCAAGAGGCGAACCAAGTTCAAAACTGCCTTTAGTGACTGAATTGAGTAACTGTGGACCAGTCATTCATTCTCAACCCAGTGAATATCACAAGCTTGTAGTTAGGGGAAAATGCCAAAGAAGGAACATTATGTGCACCACCTAATATCTTTGCTGGAGCGCAGCATGTAAACTAAAAATAAAATAATAATTATAAACATGGCTATGTAGCTGTCATAAATTCATAAATGCAGCAATAAAACACTCAAGATAATGTAAAAGTCCAAGTTCTCTTTTTAAAAAAAAAATGTTATATGAATACAGAGCATGTAGTTTGGAAGCTCTGAAAGAGATACATTTTGCAGGCAAAAGTTCTTTCCTTGATAATTTCTTCAAGTGCTAGTATTAGGGCTACTGTACTTTGTTTGCAAAAATCTGGAATATCTCTGGACAGTAGCAAAGGGATACTGGAATGTTAGCATTTAATGGTCACATAGAGCAGGGGTCTCCAACCCCTGGTCCATGGACTAGGACCAGGACATGGCATGCCAGCAACCGGTCCACACAAACAAGCAAAGACCTATCCACGAGATGTAGGCAGCACACAAAACCATATACCCTCCGGTCCGCAGAAAAACCTCTCTCTACAAAACCGGTCCCTGGTGTCCAAAAGGTTGGGGACCTCTGACATAGAGATTATCCAGATTTTGCAGTTGAGGTACGGTAGCCCTAGGGTAGGGTTTCCCTTCTGGACACTCCACCTCATATGTGACCTCCAGCTCCTAGATCTTCCTACTGGTGAGAATTCTGGGAGTTGAAGTCCCCACATTTGGAAACTATCCAGGTTGGAAAACATTGCCCTTGAAGAACTTTCCAATAAATCTCAAATACCTTCTCCTATCTTTATTGATCTAAATAGTTCCTTTGAGAGCCGGGTCCTAATCTTTTAAAATTAAGTGGTTTTAAAGGTCAAAATCAATTACTGAATTGCATTCAGCAATAAATGGGAGCCAGAGCAAGAGGTTCCATAATAGAGGCAGTCCTCACAATTGGGACTGGCAACTCATTTGTTAAAGTGGTTGGTTGCTAAGTGTAAAATCACATGACTGCCACTGTTCTTATGATCTTACTTCAACTTTCCTTTGTGGATTTGAGAATGAAGGCATTGGTGGCAATGCTACTTTTCATCATCATTGCAACTGCAAATGGTCACTGTCTAAAGGGGTCACTAAATGAGGACTACCTGATGCCCAACGTGATGCAGATGCAATGAGGAGTTTGCTTGCTACTCGTTACAACAATTGGGTTGTAGACTCCCAGTATAAGAGTGCAAGTATGATGTAATCAGGCCATGGGTTACCATAGCCAAGTTGGATCATTTGAATAAAGTCTACATGGGAGGGAGTTGCGTAAACATACACTTTGTCTCCACCTTCACTGAAAATCCAGGGTCAGGAAATGATCAAAGAGCACTCCCGTGATAGCAATACAAAGGGAAATACAAAATGTAGTTTCATGTAAATTATGTTTAATAACACAGAAGACAAGCTGTAAGTCAGTGCAATGCTGCTTTTTTGGGGGAGGGGGTCTTTTGAAAATAGTGTGAGACAATGTTCTTTTGGCAGTCTATTGGTTGAATGACTCTTGGAGGTGCTGAAGAGGATTTTCCATTAAACTTAAATCTTGCTTGGGATGAAAATCACATAAAAAAACATGATGCAACATTTTATCAACGGACGTCCATCAGCAAAAAAAAAAAAAAAAAAATGCATGGAGACTTTTGGAAACTGGAACTGTCTGACAAACAAGAAATCAGATGTCCAAGGATGCAGAGAGAAAAAGAAAGTGAAAATAAGATTAGTGTTTAGGGATTGTGCCAAGGTCCATGGTAAGATTAGTGGATTTCTTCGTACTTGAGGTGCTGGGTGTTCTGAGAATATAGGAATGTTCTGGATCTGAACCCTCAATTAATTCTATTATGGATGTATTATGCCTTTTATCTTTTCACCTCTATGCTGGAAGATGTCTTAGCCATCGATGCCAAAAAAAGCATCATTAAAAATATGAAGGTATCTATACCACCACAGTTCATGCAGTATAGTAAGTAATAAGTTATTTATTATTATTTTATTTTATTATTTAGGTATGCCCATCTCACTCTTAGATCTTATTCTAAACCTCATTTATACATTTTATGTAATTAGCAGAAAAAGGGAAAGAAAAGTTTACAGTCTTAAACCAAGACACTGATGTGGCATCATGCTATAGGAGTAACTGGATAATAAGATCTGTTTTTTTTTTTAAAAAAATTATTTTCCCAAGTTATTTTAATTAAACTGAATAGCCTTATAGCATGCAGATTGATTTGTAAAGAAAATAAATAATTGGATGAAAGCTTTGCATTTGATTAAACGGCTGCAGTACCTTTTTGTAAATTGTTTTAATTCAGTTTCGGCTGCTTTCAGTATGGTTTTCCTTGAAATGTGCAGAGTAATCATTCTGCTTTTAAATAGCTTGTTTTTCTCTCAGCTGGAAGAATCTCTTAGGGAGAAAGGACAGAAACAAAAATCTTTGAATGCATGGGTGTGTTACAGACTGAGTTGTGAGGGAATGCCAAACAATTCATTCCTAAATCATTATTCTCTTGGAATAATTCCGTTATACCTTAATGTGCCTTAACTGTTCTTATGAACCGTGCCATTGTAAATGACTTATGTCTCTGTTGGAAAACAAAGGATTCCTGATATGCTTGTACAACTTACCAAAGAACATAATCACAAGAAACATTTTGTGAGTCTATAATTATGGTGCTGAAAATTTAAAATGTGATTCACAGCTGTGGCAACACCTGTACAATTGTTCTCTATTTGTGTATTTGGAGGAAGTGAATGTCAGTACTGCATGGGTGTCAAACTCATCACATCATGTGACGTGTTGTGAGGTATTGTGACTTTTTTTGCATTGCTGCAGCTGGGATGGGCCTCCACATGATGCAGCCGGCCCACAGGCTGGCAGTTTGACACCCCTGCAGTACTGTAAAGAGGAAGGAAAGGATGAAATTAGCTAGTGAAATATGGAGCAGTCGTGCATATTCCACCATAATCCCCCATTAGTGTAGATGGGTTACAGTGAATTTTTTTCACAATAATAAATAAATAAATAAATTGTAAAGGAGATCTAATTAAACCTATCCCTATCCCAAAAGGTGTAAAAGAAGGCTGCATTCTAGCAAGTTATTGTTTGATTTATATATTAATAATATGATTGAAATCTTTGCTAAATCACATTTTCACTTCCCATTCTTGCCCATTGCCCATGGTTCCCATCGTTCTCCGTGCTGATGATGCAGCTATTCTCTCCATAACACAGATAGACCTGGGTAGACAGAATGGGGTAACTCAGTGTAGCTAGCTCAGCCCAGCCAGCCCACCACTGCCAACTTGCCTCTGCCAATTCATTGCCACCAAGTAATTGCAAGACAACTCAACACAGCCAATTCGCTATGGGGACAATTTGCCATGGGCAGGGTGGGCAGGCAGGCAAGCAAGCAGGTGGGCAGAATGCAGAGGAGCTGTGGCAGCAGTGGATAAGGCAGGCAGCAGGGGAGGCAGCGGAAGCTGGGGGCCTCCCATTTTCACACCTCCACTGCTGGTCACTTGCTCTGAACTCTACCCACTTGCTTGCTCACCTGCCCCCCAGCTCTCCCTCTAGTGGGAAGCCCCTGGCTACTGCACTCTGCACTCTGCCCACCTGATTACTCACCCGCCTGCCCACCTTATTCTCCCTCTGGCTGCCTGTGGCGAGTTGTCCTCACAGCAAATTGGCTGTGCTGAGTTGTTTTGCAACAATTTGATGGTAGTGAGTTAGCAGAAGCAATTTGGCATTGGTGAGCTGGCATCAGTGAGCTGTTCATGACGAACTGACTGCACTGAGTTGTCTCGACGCTTTAAAGCATTATCTTCCTATTGACCTAGAGCAGGGGCCCCCAACCTTTTGGGCACCAGGGACCAGTTTTATGGAAGACAAATTTTCTATGGAGGGAGGGGGAATGATTTCACACGCTACCTAAATCCCACATATACACAGATGAAACTTTGCTCACTTGTGTGGACTGGTACTGGTCCATAGCCTGGGGATCGGGACCCCTGACCTAGAGAATGCTGTAAGATCAATTACTCTAAAATAACAATTCTATTATTTTCAAGGAAGCTTTTCATGTCCCTGATTACCTAGAAGATTAATAATAGACCTATTGAGCAAGTTATAACCTTAAAGTATCTAGGCATATACTTTAAATCATCTACTCACTGGATCAATCAAGCAAAGAATCACATTATCAGAGTCCTAAAACCATATTTCGCCTTATTGCATATGCATGTCAACACAGTAATAACTATGTTGCAACAGCTATCAAATTATTCAAGGTAAATTAGCAGGGCCAGTTATATTGTTCAAAAGAAACAGGTCCACAAAAACAGGAGGGGGAGTTGTCTATATGTAAAAGAACATTACATGTCTATAGATCAAAAGATAAAATCTCTCCAGAATGTATATGGGTCAATATAAAAGAGAAAAAAAGTGACATTGCCATAGGTGTATATTACAAGCCACCCAATCAATCAGAAGAAATAGATGAACTCTTTGCCAACCAGTTAACAAATGTATGTAGGAAGCATACCACAGTAGTAATGGAAGACTTCAACTGGGAGACAAACTCTGCAGTGAGTGGGAGATCAAACAGATTCCTAACCAACTTAGCCGACAACTTTGTCACCCAAAAGGTGGAGGTGGGAACTAGATGTAAAGCTATACTGGCCTTACTAATAGAGAAGAAGTGATAGAGGGAATTGAAATTGCCGGAACCCTGGGTGAGAGTGACCATGTCATACTGGAATTTAACATTATGCAAACACTAGCGATAGAAAACAATCCAAGCAGTGTCTTAACATTCAAAAAAGCTGACTTTAACAAACTCAGAGAGAACCTAGGAAAGATCCCATGGATAGGAATCCTAAGGGGGAAAACAACACAAGAAGAATGGGAAACTCTGAAAAATGCGATCATAAAAGCCCAGACCAGCACAATACCACTGAAAAAACAAGAAATTCAAAAAGAAATCAGCATGGCTGCGCAAAGATCTCTCTGGCAAACTGAAAGACAAAAAAGGACAAATATAAAAAATGGAAAGAGTGGCAAATAACTAAGGCTGATTATCAGCAGACAGCCAGAACATGCAAAGATGAAGTCAGGAAAGCAAAGGCTCAGAATGAACAAAGACTTGCAACAGAAATCAAGGATAATAAAAAAAAAGTTTCTTCCAACACATTAACAAGAAGAAAAAAGTCAAGGAAACTGTAGGTCCACTAAAGAGAGAACATGGCAAGGAAATTACAGGCAACAGGGAGAAAGCAGAACTGCTTAACGCATATGTTGTATCAGTCTTCACACAAAAAGAAACTATAGTCCAACATACAAAAAAAAAAAAAAACACTGCAAAAGACAAACTAGAAACAAAAATTAAAATAAGCAAGAAAATGGTAAGAAAATACCTATCCGACCTTGATGAGTATAAATCACCGTGACCTGACAGATTACATCCTAGAGTTTTGAAGGAGCTGGCAGGTGTTATCTCAGAACCATTGCACCACATCTTTCATAAATCCTGAAGTACCATGGAAGTACCTGAGGGTTGGAAAAGGTCTGATGTGGTTTCCATTTCAAGAAAGGGAAAAAAAATGGGTCAGGAAACTACAGACCAATCAATTTACATCAATACCTGGGAAGATCCTAGAAAAGATAATAAAAAAAACAGATCTGCAAACTACTAGAAGCAAACAAATTTATAACTAGTAGCCAGCACGGGTTTGTTAAAAACAGATCATGCCAAACCAATCTAATTTCATTCTTCGACAACATGACTAAACTAGTAGACCAGCAAAATGCTGTGGATATAGTATATTTAGATTTCAGTAAGGCATTTGATAAAGTAGACCAGAACCTACTCCTTGGTAAACTAGAAAAACATCACTACCAGATGGATCTGTAGCTGGCTGGCAAACTGTACTTAACAAGTAGTCCTCAATGGCACCACATCCACATGGAGAGAAGTAAGCAGTGGGGTACCACAAGGTTCCATCTTAGGCCCAGTACGCTTCAATATATTCATAAATGACTTAGATGAGGGAATTGAAGGGGAACTCATCAAATTTGCAGAAGACACCAAACTGACAGGATTAGCCAACACCCCAGAAGACAAACTCAGGATCCAAAAAGAACTTGACAACTTGAACAATGGGCCCTATCCAACAAAATGAGTTTCAATGTGGAGAAAAGCAAGTTTTACATTTAGGTAGGAAAAATCAAAGGTACAAATAGAGATTGGGCAAGAACTGGCTTTAAAACAGTAACTGTGAGAGGGACCTTGGAGTCCTAGTGGAATATCACTTGACTATGAGCCAGCAGTGTGCAGCAGCCACCAAAAAAGCTAATACAACCCTGGGTTGTATAAACAGAGGCATAGAATCAAGATCATGCGAAGTATTAGTACCACCTATAAAACCCTAGTAAGACCACAATTTTGGTCACCATATCACAAAAAAGATGTTGAGAGTGTGAAAAAAAAAATCAGAGAAGAGCAACTAAGATGATCAAAGGCCTGGAGACTAAAACATACGAAGAATGGCTGCGAGACTTGGGTTTGGCTAGTCTAAAGAAAAAAAGAAATAGGGGAGACATAATAGCAGTATTCCAGTATTTGAGGGGCTGCCACAAAGAAGAGGGGTGTAAGGACCCACCCCACTTTGCATCTTAAGAAGACAGAACTCTTGGAATAGTTCTTCCAACAGGAATCCTTTATTAAGAGAAAATGGTTGCAGGCATGCTAGACAGGACTTGGGGTCCAAGCTCTCCCATTCAAGGTTTTAAGGGGTTCCCCAGTAGTCCCACCCAATCAACCCCCCTTCCCAGTGATAGTTTCAAGTATCACAATTCCACCCCGTTTCTTCTTTCTTCCGTCTGGATGGAGACTTCAGATAACTACATGAAAGGCAAATACTCTTCTTTGTTAATGCTAATGTTCTCTGGTGTTAACGCTTTGAGGT